ATTTTAAAGTTTGGATCGGATAAATATTTTGAATTGTCGGATCGGATTGTACGTATTATTAAGACTATTGCTAATTTATCCTGTAACATAATCAACTCCCTCCATCCTTTCTGACCATGTACCATTTCATCCATTCTGCACCAACAACAGAACAAAAATTTTCAACACTCACCTTAGCAATATAAAAGGCAATTAGTGATCTTATAATGCATAAAATGTAAGCATAATTTTGATCTTCATTTAGTAACAATTTTAGATCGTTTCATACCAAAAGATCTCTGCGGGAAGGTTAGGCAAGCTGAATTCATAGGATTATTCGAGTCGGTAAAGGAAGAGGCGTCGTCCGGTCGCCGCCGATAGTCGGAACACAGAGAAGAAGAATAGAGCAGCAGTCTCTCTAAAGAGAGCATAGAGATAGAGAAGCTCGATGAAATAAGACCTAACCCTAAATTTATACATATCCTAATAATTTCGGATTTCGGATTGGATCGGGTTAAAATTATACCAATCCGAATTCAATCCGGATATTCGAAATTTTAAAAAAACATAATCCATATCCGATCCAAATATCCGAATTGAGCTGATCGGTTCGGATTCTCGAATATCAGATCCAAATGCACAACCCTAAACAATTGATGTGAGACAAATTTGATGGATACTGCAGATATTGCAAAAGGCTTGCAGCAAAATAATCACCTACATAAAGCTAGAGTAAAAAATGACAAAAACACTTTATTAAAGATCATTCATACTGTATTATTTAGTTTGGATTCCCAAGTATATACTATGCAACGCTTCAATTTAATACCACGTNAAAAAAACATAATCCATATCCGAAATCTGAAATCCGAAAATCCGAATTGAGCTGATCGGTTCGGATTCTCGAATATCTGATCCAAATGCACAACCCTAAACAATTGATGTGAGACAAATTTGATGGATGCTGCAGATATTGCAAAAGGCTTGCAGCTTAATAATCACCTACATAAAGCTAGAGTAAAAAATGACAAAAACACTTTATTAAAGATCATTCATACTCTATTATTTAGTTTGTATTCCCAAGTATATACTATGCAACGCTTCAATTTAATACCACGTTCCGTGTGAATTAAATCCCTTAAAGGATTAAAAAATTACATTTACAGATGAACCAAATAAAAGGTGATCGGTTCATATTGGTACAACTGGAAAAAACTCAACAGCCTTATCATAATTATGAGTGCTCTTACGTTTTGGTATACATACCACAAAATTATTTATTGAGTGTTATCCGTTTATAAAGACAAAAATGTGCTCAAATTTATATGATATTTTAGTCATTCAATCTTTTATTTTAGATGTTTCCACTTTGAAAGAGGTGTCTTCAACTAATTTAAACTCAATTCGTGTATATTATAAATTCTACATGTTTCTAACTTATGGGTTTCTTTCTTAAATGCATCAGTTACTATATAAATGATAAACGGTCATTAGATAGATCAGAAGAATTGAATATACGTTAAGATTTTTTTTTTTCGACTTTTAAATTTTTTGAACACAATGAATTGATTAATATGTGATTAACTTTCCATTTAATTATTTCACTTATCATTTATTGGAGGATAATTTACTATTTAGTACCAAAAATTATTATAGGAATAGTATTCAGATGAGGGGTAATAGTGTCGTTTAATTTTTGATGTACATTTTGGCAATTCTAACTTTACCCTTAAGGTCTTCCCACTTTTAGTATAATATGATATGATGATATGATATAATATAGTACTAGCTCTTTTTAACCCCCAAAAAAACGATTAATCAAATTCTGATGCAAAGTATTACAGTAGTTCAACAAAGCCCTAAGTTACTCAATCTTTTATGTTTCTGTACAAACTTAGCTAGCTTATAATATTACGACTTGGTTGATAAAATATCATATATGATTACAGAAAACTTCTTACCAATATTATTTATTTATAAGTTTAATCTTTTTCTTCTTGAAAACACATATATGAGTAGTAGTCAGGAAAAACAAAATTGCATTGCTCTAGTTAAATGAAATGTAATTAATGTAAATATTTGGTAGTACTAAAGTCTTTCCAAATATCTTCGGTCATCAATGTCTCCTTCCAGCTATGCAAACAAATGCAATATCTTCCATATTAATTAGAGAACATCTTCACTTTTGTATATAACATTGCCATTCCAAGCAACAAAAAGCACTTATCTACCAAATACTTCCACCTTGTTTGCAAATTTGTTGAGGGAAAAAAATGACAAGGAAGAAAGTGAAGTTAGCTTTCATAACTAATGACTCGGCAAGAAAAGCAACATTTAAGAAAAGGAAGAAGGGTCTGATGAAGAAGGTGAGTGAATTGAGCACCCTTTGTGGAATTGATGCTTGTGCTATTATTTATAGCCCTTATGAAAACCAACCTGAGGTATGGCCAAACACCATGGGAGCTCAACGCGTGCTCGCGGAGTTCAAGAGAATGCCAGAGATGGAACAGAGCAAGAAAATGGTGAATCAAGAGAGTTTTATCAGACAAAGAATTGCAAAAGCGAGCGAGCAGCTGAAGAAACAAAGCAAAGAGAACAGAGAGAAGGAGATGACTGAAGTTATGTACCAGTGTTTGGCTGGAAAAGGGCTGCAAAATTTGAACTTGGGAGATTTGAATGATCTTGATTGGGTTGTTGATCAGAATTTGAAGGAGATTAATAAGAGGATTGAAGCATTTAAAAAAGGGGCTTCCACATCTTCTTCTGCTATTGTTTCACAGGCTGTTGCTCCTCCACTAGTGGAGCAAAAGCCAGTGGTGGAATTAGGGTTGGAGGGGATGCAGAGGACACAAACAGAGTGGTTTAATAATTGGATAAATAACAACACAAGTGAACATCAGATTGAATTTGGACATGGAGATGAGATGATTATGCCTAATTTTAGTGATAACCACAACACTAGTGTGTGGCCTAATGCTTTCTTTCCTTAGATTTGTTTTTCATGTTATGTGATTCCTTCAGCATGTTGTTTATTTTTGGGTTTTTTCCTTTTTGCCTTTTTTTAATCCTTGTTATTTTCTGAAACAGATTCAATTCATAATGGGTCTTTATCCTCTAATTAATCCTTATTTTTCGCTTTGTCCATTTGGTATTTGAAACCAGGCCATTCCTCCCGCAATACTTTTCAGTAACAATCGGGGTGGCTCTTGAAACACTATTGATTTAAAGGAATATTGTATCAACTTTAATTTTAAAAACTTCTTTCCACTTAAACAACTATTATTGAAACTGTTAACAATATTTTATAAATAATAGTCATTTAAAAAAGAATAAAAAATTTTAATAAATAGATTCATACTTTTACCCCTTCTCAAGAGGAATGAAGCAGAGAATCCTAGTGGTGGAAAATTCTGATTCATTCCTTCTATTCATGAGCAAAAGATGCACAGAATCTTTTCATTCTTTAAACTGCCATTCACGATGGCACATGGGACAATGTGCTTGAGCAGATTTAGAATTCGCCCACTTCAAGATACAATGAAGATGAAATGCGTGGTTGCAATCCCCCCATACTGCAAAGACAAGTAAATTTCAAAGCATTAATAGCCTTCTAAAAAAAGACCAGACTCCGGACGGGTCATGCTAGTACCATCCACAAAAAGATGATGAATCCACATCACGCAAAAATCAAATGTTTCAATAACGTGAACTATCCAGTTTTACCGATAAATGAATAAAAAAAAAATATGAATCAGTATTATTAGCTACCGATGAATTGGAATACCAGTAATTTGCAGAGAGTATGTTATTAACAACAACAAAACCAGCTTAATCTCATACGTGGGGTCTGAGGAAGGTAGTGTTTACGCAGCCTTACCCCTATCCTATAAAGGCAGAGAGGCTGTTTCCGATAGACTCTCGGCTTAAGGAACGATAAAAATAAAGCAACAAGCAATAACAACAGTAATATAATAAGGTAATGTAAGTGAGTGACGCAGAGAATATGTTGACAACTAATAATATCTGCAACATTCTGGGTAAAGTAGTAGCGTGGGGTGTTCAAAATATCTCTTGAAGTATCAAACCGATAACTGAATCGGCTCATTGTAGTCTATATATAGAAAGAATTAAGTGCCTAAACTCTAGAAGAGATTGCCCACAGTGAGGATATTACTTCAAGACAGAACTTCTACTTGTTCTTGAGTTTATAACCTGGTGTCTAGATAGATAGAAATAACACCTAGAGGATACAGATTAAAAATAATAAAAATTAAAAATAAAAAGGATATAGAGATGACATATCACTTTTCTAACACCTAGAGGATACAGAATAAAAATAATTCAAATAAAAAAAGGATACTGAGATGAGATATTTCACGTTTCTATCCTTTGTTATTCTTTATTAAGGATACTGTGAAGAAGTTGCGTAGGAATGGAAGGGAAGAGAACACAAAGCAACCAGAAAGATCGTGACATGTGAGGTGCAGAAAAACTTGGAGTTCGAGTCAGCTCGTGTGCAGCTTGACTAATCTACAGATATAGGTTACCACCCACTAGTTAGGTACTGTGTACCCATCAAGTTTTAGGGAGATTGGATGAATTCACACGACACCTTCTGCCGGGATTCAGACTTTTACTCCAAAGTTGTCCTTCCAAAACTAGTACCACACAACTAGCAAAGGTATAGGGTCGAACACATAAAATGTGCAAATACAAATAAAAGGCCTGGCGAACAAATCATCATAAAATGAAATTCAAACACTATCAATTGCTAAATAGAACAATCAAAGCTTGATGGTGAAATGAGCACAAGGAAGACAACATCTTATACAGCTCATCCACCTTTTTTTGTAGGTACAGCCATACATCTCATCCACCTTTACCATATCATTCTCCAGTCTTACACCAAATCAAATGAACTAAAACTAATTATGTCATCCAGTAGGGCATGTGGCAAGGAACAGTTGAATGAAGCACTACAAATATCGCCAAGGAAACTCTATAGCTCTACTTTTGTTCATAAGAAACATCAATGCAGGAATATGTAAACCTCCCAAACTAAAGTAGGGTCATTTTTCCCATTTAGTCAGACATGCACAACAAAATCTTTCTTTTTCCTTTTGGCAAGAATAGTCCAGTAGACTTGTAGCCTCAATTGAAGGACAAAGACACAAAATCATAAGAATCAAAATATTTTGATGCTTAATTTATTTCATCAATTGCATTATGACACGACTCAAAATCCTAACCTGTCGTGATGGCGCATATCTCAGTACTAGGCAAGCCGACAACATCAATAACCCACGATTTCCTTTAAGTTTGAAAACATAATATTTAATACAATACCAAAAATCTAGCAAATTCCGATACAAACATTCCCAAAACCTAGTGCTACTGATTACATGAGCATCTATACATTACAAGGCTGGAAAACACGATCTATAATAATCTAAGACTGAATACAATAAACAAAATATAGGGAAGGAGAGATAAGGTTTGCGAAACATGGCAGCTACCTCTGAATCTCCGGAAAATCGACTGTGTGAAAGAATAAACACCCACCGTATCCGGGATCACCTGGATCTGCACATGAAGTGCAGGGTATAGTATGAGTACAACCAACTCAGTAAGTAACAATAATAAATAAAGAACTGAAAGTAGTGACGAGCTTCTCAGCTAAGTCCAAATACAGTACTTTCCAATATAAAAGAGTAGGCATACTCTCAAGTTCAACATTTAAGATTTCACTGGAATTTCATATCAAGTTTGATTGAAACAGAAAATAATATTTTTCCGAAATTTCCAAAATAGTGATGTATGACAGCTGAAATGCAGCAAATAATGAAATCAATGCATCATCTCAGAGTAACAGTCATTCAGTCCTCCCATTCACTTCAACCTCAGAGTCACTCTTACGAGTAGTCCATCGCAAAGAAATATGCCAATAACGCATCTAATGAACTCGCAATATAAAGCTACCCTCATAAAAATGTGAAATATTTGACTGAATTTAAACTGAAGTAGATTTTCAGAGCAAAAAACTAAAGGACTAGTAAAATTGCTTCTTTGTAATATTCGCAGTTAAATGGCTGCACATCCTGCAAGAAAATCAGAAATTAATAATATTAAACTCCCAAGATCACAAGTATAAGTCATATCCAATCATAACTACATATTTAGACAGAAAATGTTTTCTCATATCAGAAATGATTCAGTAACAGTTGCTATAATTCACTGCACTTATTATATGCTCCAATAAAATATATATTCCGTAGCCTTCATTTAAACATTTCAAATCAGCGAAATAATCGTAAAAGGATACGCAAAATCTTGACTTTCACTGGCTCGCTCTCTGCAATTTCAAGACCACAAAAAAAAAAAACTGAGTCCACAAAAAGGGAATTCATAAATTCTACACTGAAATGACAATTGAAAAAACTCTTGACTGTAAACTAATAAAAATTAATGTTTTAGAAGAGAAATAAACCATTTCCGAAGATAAAATTGATGCGTTAATCTACGATTTCTGCGTGAATTTTGAACTGAAATGGTTGTCTTTTTAGGGCTTTATACGAACTTTTTGAAAGTGGGGGAAAAACTATTGAAAAATATGTTTTGGCCCTACCTTGGAAGCAACAGGTTTCTTGGGCTAAGTTGTTGTCACATGGCCCGTAATCCAACGGGGGAGTCTGGCCCAGTCTATGTATGGCTAAAATAGTTCACAGAAAGATAGCCCAGACTGAACTAGCCCATGTCGTTGTTGTCACTTGGCCCGTAAATGATTGTACTATCTTACAAGGGAGCCTGTCCCAGTCTAAATTAGTAGTAGTTCTTTCTTGAACTTCAACCAATTCATCCTGTTAAGTAAGATTGTATGTAAGAATTCGAGATGCTTTGTATATAAGTTTGTAATGTAAAAGCAATTCAACTATTTAGCACCCTATGGCAAGTGTATTTACAGCATAAGCAAAAGGTGAAGCATATTTTCTCCTTCGTTTTGTCTGATAAAAGGAAATAGGAACAAAATAACATCTTGAGATTTTATTAGTAACAAATGATTATTTTGGTTGGTTAATTGGTCATGTTTAGGAAAAATTAAAGAGATCACCCTTCACACTTATTTTTGTAAAACATACCTCTTGTATACGATCAAAATCGAATTTACCCTTCGTATGACTAATCGAGATTGGAACGTGGTGGTCCGAGGATTATCAGTCTAATATCGAGCCATGGTGCGAAGTACATGTTGTCAGACTCGAGATCGAACTCGAAGACTTAAAGACCAATCAAGATTGAGACCAGGACCAAGATCGAGCCAAGGGACAAAAAAGCCGTTATAGCCGCAATTGGGGGGAATCTCGGCGGAAATCACGGCACAATTCAAGGAAAGATTAATTAATTAATCTATCATGGATCCCCACTATGTATTTTTTATTATATCCAAAATAGGATTTTCTCACTATATTATGGGTTGTTATCATTTGTAGGGAGGCAGATTCATAAAAGATTCATAGAATACAAAGCAATACACGATTCTTCACTGGTTTTGATATTTAGTGATATTGTTCTACTATCAATTACTCTCCATTCAACTTGAAGGCTTAGGCTAACTAATTCATTCGGTTTGAATTCGTTTCTTTTACAACTAATTTTAATATTCATTTATTTATCTTTCCCGATTTGTACCAAGTTATACCACGTATCCTTAGAACTGTGTATAAATTCAATTGCTATATGTTTTTCGGGTAAACAGTTTGGCGCCCACCGTAGGGCTAAGGATAGTAGTGGTTATTTGATACAAATATATATAAAAACACACTATTTTACACTTGCTCTTGGAAGTGTCTTTAATTTCAGGCTAAAAATGACGAAACCTCAGTTAATGGCCCTACCTATCGACAACGAATCTGGCCATCAAGATGAGAGTAACAATGTGGCGCCCGGGGATGAAAGGCCACCCGTTGAACCTATTGGAACTCGGTCGTGGGTCCAATTGACGTTAATTCGCATGTGACCATTGAAGCGAACCACATTCCGACCCCGAAAATAGCATTCATGGTGGAACTCGATCTGCAGTTCGAAATACCCAAAATATTGG